GCCTTCACTGTTGATTTGCAATTCGATTCATTTACCACTAGAATATTTAGCCACTGGCTACTTTGGTCAAAGGACTCGACTTCTTAATACACAAAATGAGTACAATATCACCATTTTATTTCCCCATAAGTTGGTAGCAATGAGAAATGAGTTAAGAGCATTAGAATGTTAGGTCAAATGAGAGTATTAACGATTAGGGACATAAATTATTTTTCTAATAATTGCTGCTTTTCTTTTGACTTCAGGAAAACTTGACTAGAGATTGAATTTTGACATTAAACCCAAGAAAATTAAGTTTTGAAGATAATTTCTCAAACTAGAATTTGGCCACGTTACCATGCTGAGCAACAGTTTCAAAGAGAAAGATAATTGGGATTTTTAATGAGCTTTGAAACTTACCAGAAAGGTGGGATAAGAGCTATAAAAGATGTGGTATTAGGCAGTGTGACTTTAGACAGCTCTTACGGGATACATCCTAGTGGTAAGATCTTTCTTCTCTACTGTGATTAGCCAGAAAATAATCTTTTCTTTATTAGCTTTTCTCCTCATCTCCTTTGAGGAAATACTCCAAGGTCAGTTGTCACCCAATCATAATGTCCCTAGGATACTGACTGATATTCTCAAATTTGATTAAGTCAATGGGACAAGTAAATCAATTCAATGCAAGAAACAGGGCAACCACTCATTTTTTTCTTGCCAAGCTATCAGCTAGATTTTATAAAATAAGAGATAAGAGTTCAGAATTGGGTTATGGTGATGCTTCTTTTCAATCCGGTTCTTAAAGCACCATGATTTGATTGTTATCTAGAAATGGAGCCCACCTGCCATATTCATTAAATGGCAACCATAGCTGAACTTTGTGGAAATAATGCCTTGCATTTTATAGAATATGGCCTCTACCAATTGTTATTCCAATACTGTTCAGGCTTTAGGAAGCTCCTGCCAAGTTTAAACACTGGGGCACTAAGAAAAGAAAGAGACTCTGGGGAAGAGGAAATGAAATTAGCTTAATAAATCCTAATTTGGAAGGGAGAAAAATGACAAATAGAAGAAAAATGCAAATGGCAGAGAGGCAAATAGTTTCCTCTAATGTCTGTCTCCTGATAATATTTTAGAACCGAGATTATATATGGACAACTAAAGCTGAAAGATGAGTAATAAAAATATCTTGAATTCTACTGGAATATCATGTTCTACATTATTTTTTCCCATTCTTGGGAAAACGAACAAAAATTACACTAATTGCCACAAAAGAAAACTCAATACTGTTACATATAAGTAGAAAGTATACAATCACATCCACTCCAAACTATCTTCTTGTCCTCACCCATCCCTAAGTAACTCCTGAATTTTCAGGGTAGAACCCTTTTTTGGGTGATGGAGGAGACTGTGCCTACAATCCTTAGCAATGATTTCCTCACTGCTGAGCAGCATTAGTCATGCATCCTCCTCATGCCCATAAATGGAGGACAAGCCTACACTGATGCTCTCAGATGAATTTCAACAAGGCCTGTTCTGAGAGAACCCTCAGAGCCAGACTGACAACACTCCTGCAGCAAACCCATCTTCAACAGAAGCATGTTTTGTTTCATCGTACGCACACTGCTAATAGAGGTGTAGAACAACTTGGGATCGCTGTGCACACCTAGGGCTTGGAGCAGGCCTCCCATTGTGGTGTTAAGCTGGGGTGTTGCTCTGTGAGCCAAAGTTGAGGTCCACATACTCAGTGTTAAGAGGTGACTATTTTCTTTTTTTAGTTAATTAGTTAATTAATTTTTGGCTGTGTTGGGTCTTCGTTGCTGCACGTGGGCTTTCTCTAGTAGTGGCAAGCGGGGGCCCACTCTTGGTTGCAGTGTGCGGGCTTCTCAGCGCATTGGCTTCTCCTGTTGCAGAGCACTGGCTCTAGGGCGTGCGGGCTTCAGTAGTTGTGGCTCGCAGGCTCTAGATCACAGGCTCAGTAGTTGTGGCGCACGGGCTTAGTTGCTCTGTGGCATGTGGGATCTTCCTGGACCAGGGCTTGAACCCGTGTCCCCTGAATTGGCAGGTGGATTCTTAATCACTGTGCCACCAGGGAAGTCCCTAGACTGTATTTCTTTTGATGAAGAGTTTCCTCTTCGATGAGAGCATTCATTCATTCATTCATTCATTTATCCATTCATTTATTTCCAAACATCCGGGTGCCTACCTGAGGGCCTGGTATTGGGCTTCAGGCTGGGTAGCCCTTGTGAGAGAAAAACTCAAGTGATTTTCACCATTCAGCCAAGCCAGCACAAACTCGGCTAATTTTAGAGCAGGGTTTATGAGAAGAGAATCCGCTTTAATTCTTACTGTCTAACCCACTTACTTATGCCATAGGCAGGCAGTATGGTGTGCTGGAAGGAGCAATGGACCCATAATTATAAATCCTGGGTTTAAGTTCCAGTTCCACCAAAAAGAGACTGTGTGACTGTGGGCAATTTACTTAACCTCTCTGGGCCTCACTTTCCTTTTTTGAAAAATGAGTGGGTTGGACTTAAGATTCCTTCCATCTCTAAAATTCTTTTATTCTATATGGTAACACATTCCACAAAGTTTCCTTTGTGACCAGAATTAGTTGGTGATTTCTTAGCTCAAGTTTCCCTTTGCCCTCTTTTATTGTTAAACCAAATATGAACAAGAAGCAATAACATTTTGTCACAGCCAACAAATTGCCCTTCCACTGAATGACCTTTGGAGGTCAGGCCACCCATTGCAATATCTAAATCCAAAGGCAATGGTATGACCAACTTGTGAGCTGGCGGGCTGCCATCCAAAAGGATGGAAATGGTTGTAGGCGGCCAAAATTCTTGGCTGGTACATTTTTAATAAACATAGACAATAAGAACAGCATTTTCCACTTGGATTGCTTAATTTGGTGCCCAGACCATCAGAACATTTGCTGTAAGGATAAAGATGATGTGATATATGAATTAACTTTCACAAATGAGAACTATGTTATGGAGTCATCTGTAAAGCATTTTTATCCTTGCCTCTTGTCTCTGGCAAGAGGAGATAGTTTGAGTCACTACAGCAACATCTCCACCCCTTTTGGCCCTTTGTAAGAGTTTTCCCTGAAACATAAGCTCTGCTGGATTTACTGTATTGCTATGAATGAACTAAGGCAAATTGGTGTGAATTCTTTGTGGTCAAATATGTCTTAATACTTTTCCAAGATGGTTCGATAAGTCTTATTATAACTTTTCCAAGAAAAAAGCCTCCACAGCAAATGTTCTTTGGCTAATTTGGAGAATATTTGAGGTGCATGCGTTTTAATTACATAAATGACAGTGAGTATTTATGATAAGGCAATGAACCTCATAGTTAGTAGCTATGGTTTTTAATTGTGCCTATTGCACAAACTCATCCAGTTCTTGTGTTCTCTATTTCCCTGTCTCTACTTGTAATATGGCAACAAGGACATTTGACTGGCAAGGCTGTTTTCTCTCCAGTGCTTGGAGATCCTTGAATAAAATGCTCTTCTGTGATGGTAAGCTGTAATTAGGCATGTGGGTGGAAATTAGTGTTCAAGTACACCATGTTTAAGCAGAGGCACTGTACCTTTTGACTACTTGAGGCCACTCTGGTCCTGTGCCATAGGTCCAGGTCATTGAGTATATAAGACTGTTGGTTTGAGGCTGCAGGTTCCAAAAAGAAAATAACTTGGTATTGAGTCTGAAATGGGGAAGCTTTTTATAGTTAAAACTGGGCCACACAGTTCTATTATAGACAAGTCAGACATTCACCAAGTATGACTATAACTTGTTCACTTTTCTTTTGGAAGTGTAAATGATCTCAACTATCAAAACTATAATTTGAATTGTGCCTCCATCTTAAAATAAAACACCAAAACTTTTGAATAGATTCCTGGAGTCATGGCAGGTCTTCCATTTTGGATTAGATCCATCCTAGTCATCTTAAAAAATACACACTCTTCGTCGGGACTACAAGAGGCCTGTAATTTGTCCAGTTTAAGTTTTCATTTGATTTTTGGGTTTGCTTTTCGATACCTAAAAACTCCCACAACTATAAATCCTGGCTTCCTGGATGGACTCCGCCCCCCATGCCATTGACTTTAAATGTTTTCTTCGCCAGCATTTTACGTTTACCTTTTCAAGGTGATTTCAAGACCAAACGAATGACGAAAAATTTTCAACTATCATTATTTGACATCACTCCCCGGCCCCCCGCCCCTCTCTCTTCCCCTCCCGCGGCCGGAATTCCCTTTTTGCTAATGACGATAGAAAGCGGTTTCACGGGCTGCGTTTCTCTTCCATTCCCGCTGTTGCACACGATGCAGCGCGCGTCTCCCGGCGACTGCGTTTCCCCGCGAGTTGGCTGCGTTCTTTCGGGGATGAAGTCATCCCTATACTTGGTGTGTGCATATCAGCTCGTTAAATCGGTACAGCACACTGGGATTCCTCGGGAAGAAAAGGAGCGAAGCGAACAATGATGACCATATTTTACATTTATACGCCACTCCCTCCCCCCACCCCGCAGGAATCGCGGGGAGCGGCGCGCGGCTGGGGCGGGCCGTGGGGCTGGCCGGGTTGCCCATCGACTGGCAGGTCCCGTTCCTGAGGTAGCAACAGGACGTGCTGAAGACAAGCCCCGCACGAGGGCACCCGGACGGGCAGATCCGGAGTCCCCCGGCCCGGCGCCCAGTCACGCATCCCGGTTGCCGCCCCCTGGCTTCGCAAGCCGGTGGCCGCAGGTCCCGCGCCGGGAGGTCCCGGCGCCCCAGTCTCCACACTCCGGCGCGGGGGAGGCCCGGGAGGGAGCTCCCCCAGTCTCAGGGGAGCGGTAGGCGACCGGGGGGGGGACGACGGCCAAGGACAACCCCGGGGGAGGAACCCTAGCCGGCTGCGGACGGGGGGTGAGCAGCCCCGATCCCAGGGTGCTGGGAAGGCGGGGTGGGAAAGCAACAAAGAGCCTTTGCTAACCCGTAGTCGCCGAGCCCGCTCCCGCCCCTCCCCGCTCTCCGCAGTCCCGCGGGGGGTCCGGCCGGCGGCAGGGGAACGCCCGGCCCCCCGCTTCCCCTCCCCCCTCACCGCCCCCTCGCCCCCGGGGGAAGGGGAGGAGGAGGGCGGCGCCTGCGTGTTCCTCCGCCGCGCGCCCCGCCTCCTCCCGGGCTTCTCGAGGCGATCCCGACTCTCCTCCCGCGGCTGCCGCAGCTGCCGGTTGCACACGGCCTCGGCGGCGGGCGCGGAGAGCGCGGGCCTGTGGAGCTGCAGCCGGGCGCGCGGCCCCGGCGGGCACCCCTCCGAGGGCGGCTGAGGAAGCTCCCGGGGGAGGAGGAGGAGGAGGAGGAGGAGGAGGTGGGGGGCTGTGGCGGCCGCGGGACCCGCTCGGCGCCTCGGCCTCTCCGCCCCCTCCCCAGCTTTTCTTTCGCCCTCTTCTCTCCCACTCCGGGCCGGCGCCTCGGCTTTGTGCGAGGAGATGGTGTAGCCCCGCGGCCGCCCGAAGGAGAAGCTGGACACTTGTCTCCCGGCGCCGAGCTGCGTTCCCGCCCCTGGAGGAGAGACCCCCCTCGGCTCGGCGCCTCCCGCGTCTCCCGGCTGCTGGGGAAGCCTCAGCGCGGCCGACACCATGAGGTGAGGGGCGCGCGGGGCGGGGGCCGGCGGGCCATTGTGCCACGGGAGCCGCGACCCCGCTCTCCCCGGACCCCGCCTTCCCTCTCCCGGCCCGGCGCGTCTCCCTGGTCTCTGGTCTCTTTCTCCCCCCCTCCCCCTTTGTCCCTTCTCATTTCTCTTTCTTTCTTGTAATCCTCCCCAACCCTCTTATGGGGGGGGGGTCCTCTTTTCGACGTTGTCCCGTTTTTCCTCAAATGCTCCTCTTTCGCCCAGGATTTCCCTTCCTAAATTTAATTTGCTCCTGGCTCCCTCCCCCCACCAGCCTTGCAAGCCAAACCTGGGAGATGGGGAGGGGTTCGAGAATCGAAGCGTGCATGTTGCTGGGAAACAGGTATTTTTCCGTCTGTATGTAAAAATTTCGTGCACTTTTATAACAAAACTCTCGTGTTTAATTAAAAAAGGGAGAAAAGTTTGAAAGATGCGAAATTTCTGTGGGGAATAAAGTGCTCTGGTAGCGATAGGTGAAAGCTCTGAAAGGTGAAATTTCACGATGGTGGGGGAAGGGAAAGAATTTATTAGGTTTATATTTGGGGGGACACAGTGAAAGACTGGGATAAGTAAGTTGTTTGGGGTGTGTAAACGGGGGCGGGAGAGGGATTTGTTTGGAAAACCGTTTTCTCTCCTTCCTCTGTAGCAGCCTGTGTTGCATTGCAGCAGCTGCTTTTTCCTTTTCCTCTGTAATCAATAAAACAGAAGCTAAATTATTTTTTCAGCCCCAAAGAATTGAAGGTACGGCCGTAAAATATTTTTTTAATTGATACGATGAAACATATGGTGTGATATTTTTCGTTTTTGTTTCTCCAATTGTGTAAGAGAATAAACCGTGATGTGGTGTGTCATTCATTGGAGATTTTTTTCAGTCTTTCCTAAGCTTGTTTTGTGTCCCTAACCTTCTCTTTTCGGATTGGTGCAAGACTTCGTGAGAAATGGGACTTGGTAGACTGAAGGCTGATCCATTCTGCGTTATCATCCTTTCGGCCTTCCTTTTAGGTTAAACAGTTGTGGATAAAGTAAATTACTCCATTTCTGTCTTCTGGAAGAGATAGTCTTACAGTTCATTTGGATTTGAATCTCCTTTGTGTTAAAAGATTAATGGCTAACCGTTGCCAAGACCTTTATAATGTAATACAATGAGATTTGAATGATATAATCTACACATTCCTGCGTTTTGGCAAGAAAATGTCATGTCATTGGAATTCTTTCTCAATTTAAGTAGTTTTCATTTTAAACTTTTTTTTTTCTGTCAAGGTTGAACACTACCACATTGTTTATATATATATATATTTTTGTGGTATAAGCTGTGTTGAGTTTTCACTTAAGCTTACTGTGAATTTGAATTATGTTTTTCTTGAATTCCAACTTACAGACCTTTATTTGAAGGCTTTAAAATTTGTTTTTAATGCTGTGTTTCTAAGCGACCCTTTTCCTTAGTGATTTCACATGCAAGTTATTTTCAGATATAATGGATCAGTTCAAAATGTAATTATGGCATACAAACCAAAAAGCATAATCTTCATAAAATGTGGCTTGAAAAATGCGAGTCATGCATTTGAGCGTGTTTTTTTTAATCAAGTTACTGATGTCCTTGAAGACTCAGGAACTATAATAAAACATCTGTAATGTTAACATCTTGTAATACAACATATTGTTGATCTCTGCTTTAAAGATTTAATGCTTATAGGAGTCTTGCAGACAAGAATTTATCAAATTTTTCCAAACTTTGGGTAAAATTTTCTCAACATTGAGAAATGTAAAACAATGAAAGTGGGATATTTTAAAATAAAATGATCGTAAAGTTGTCATACTCAGAGGTTGTGAACCAAAAAAAAAAAAAACGTTAAAAGTATTCAGTGAAGTTTGATCACTATCATGTATAGTTGAGAGTCTGTCAACAGTAAATTGTCTTCACTTAAAAGTTCCTTTTCTTATAAAAAGTAACTTGTAATTTTTAAGCTGTTTTCCTGCTCTATTCCTTATTAAATGTAGAGAGGGATGAATCACACTGATTCTTTCCAGTAGCATAAATATAGAACATGGTACGCAGGTCAGAAAAGTTTGTTCAGGTAGTCTACAGTAATTCTTTGTAGACTAATTGTGAATAATTTAAGAGCAGAAAAGAGGATCAGCTTTTCACTTTGGAAGGCATTGGATTATTTGGTAGGTGGTTTGTACAACTCATATATACACATTTCCTTAGATACCTGTAAAAGCAGGATGGTGTGGTATGAAAGTAAAAGGTTCTTGTGCTGGCTGCAAAAAGCTCTGGGATATTTTGGTGCTTAAGAAACGGCTCTTCAGGTTATATTCATATTTGACTTAGTCCAAATGATGCTTTCAAGTATGGTAGGACATAAATGTTATGCTATTAAGTCGAGTCTCTCTTATTTATATTAAGGAGTAGTTCTGATGTTTTAAAGGCCATCCGGAAATAGGAGTGCATGAGTAGGAATTTCCATTTAAGTTGGTCAGGATTCTGAAAAGAGGATATGCTAAATATGTTGGCGGTTTAGGCATTTGTGATAAGATCTTTCAAATGACTGTAATTTCAGGAATAGCACGCTCATTGTGGTATAATGTAATAGTTCCTATACAGAAGGAAACAGAATAATACTTTACATTCGTGAAACAATCTTAACGGCATTCTGTACTTGTAAAAAGCTGTATATAGAATGACTTGTTAATGTTTTGCTTACAGATAAGAATTTAAGAAATGAGAAAGTGTATTTCTTACATAAGACAGTGAAAGGGTTGAGAACCAAAAAACTGGTACTTTTGTTAGTGTAACATCCGACTGTCGGGTTCTGTTCTTATTGTTCATTTATGTAATGTTTCAAAAGTATAAGATTTATGATTGAGGTAGGTGTATATATGTAATATTAATATAGTGTATGCCTTTTAAATGATTACATTTTTACTTAGTTGGTTAGTTACTCAAGATCTTATTTTGATAGAAAGAGGAGCTTGTCTGATCTAAAATAGTTGCATGTAGCCTAGTGGCGAAGAAGAGCTCAGAAGATTTTGGATTGACATTCTTAGGTCCATATTAAATAGTCCAGGCTTCCACTCACTGCTCTGTGACTTCCTCATGGAAAAAGGTGTTGTGGAGTTGTGAGGATTCATCCAAGCCACTTATTAGCTGGCTGACCTTGAGCTGATCACATTATTTCACTGATCTGTATTTTAAAATATGTAAAAATAGGGATAATTCTTTACTGGGTATTAAGGATCAAATGATAATGGAAAAGAGTGTGTATTGTGTACTTGTAAGCATTATACAATTATATTACGTCTTTTGTTTTAGGGCTTAGTTCTGTTTTAGACTAGTTACGTAAGTCTTTTGGGTATTTAACTTCACCTCATCCAGTCCAAGTGTGGCAAGAAGGGTTTTTTGTTTTTTTTTTAAAATTTTATTTATTTATTTATTTTTGGCTGCGTTGGGTCTGTTACCACGCGGGCTTTCTCTAGCTGCGCTGCGGTGCGTGTGCTTCTCATTGCAGTGGCTTCTCTTGCTGTGGAGCATGGGCTCTAGGCGCGCAAGCTCAGTAGTTGGGGCCCGCCGGCTCTAGAATGCAGACTCAGTAGTCGAGGTGCACGGGCTTAGTTGCTTCGCGGTATGTGGGATCTTCCCGGACCAGGGCTTGAACCTGTGTCCCCTGCGTTGGCAGGCGGATTCTTAACCACTGCGCCACCACGGAAGTCCCGCAAGCAGGTTATGTTTTGCTTATCTACTCCCAGCTGGTAGTGGCTGCCATGTTGATAAGGACATAGCTGCATTTCTGGGTTTGGTGAGAAAGTGCCACGATTAGTAATGTTTAATTGGGATGAGGGTCCCAGAGAGTGGCAATAGAGTGTTTCCTGGAATGCTCATTATTTAACCATCTGTGATCTAATCCACCCTTCTTATTTTATAGGTGAGGAAACCGATCTTTAAGTTTCCTTCCTGTGTGTATATTTAGTCTTTGAAGTAGTTATTGTGGTTTTGTTACCTTCATTTAAATGTAATATACATTTTAGAGTGTGGCACAGTCAGAGCTCAGAAGATCCAGGGTTTATATGCTGACTTGTTAATGGAGAAAACAGATAAAAATGGAGATAATTCTATTTCAGGGATTGCTGTGTCAGATGTCAAGTGAGATACCCATGAAAGGATACAAATAGTAGTCTCTATGCCCACATCTTCCTTTATGCTTGTAGCTTTTGGATGTGTGACTTTCTCACAGACGTTAATTTTAGGGGCAGGAGCCAAATTTGCATTTTTTGGAATGTTAGTGCATTGTATTTAGGCATTGTTTTGCCTTGTAGGTATTACGTGAACACATCTTGAATAAGAATGTGGATTAATGAAGAAAATTTACCCGTTTTTACAGTAGTCAAGGTTTTGGATACCTTTTTAGCCCAGTTGGAATAAGCAAAATAACTGGCAGGCCCATTTGGCTGGTAGAGAAGAAATTACATACTGGACTGACAGTTTTGGTTACTTATCCTACACACAGCTTAAATCTGGGGTGACTGTATAACTTGTAAAACACCCAGTCTTTATCATAAGCATAAGAAGGATTTGGAAAAATGTGATTTCAATTTTCATGCAGTTGTTGGGGAGGAAAAGGATACTTAAACTCTTCCTGTGCCCCTCTCCCCCTTCTTTGAAACTGACAGATGGAACTGAGTGGAAGTAAAAGTTAAAAGGGAGAATCTGAGCTGAGGCTGTACCTCAGTGAATGATTCCCCTAGTAAGGGCTTATGAAGTTTTCTGGAATAGAAATCAGGAAGGGATTCCTTGACAAGGGATTCCTCTGACAGGGGATTCCTTGTCAGACCTTCTGGGAAGTAGTCCTTAATTTATTTACCTCCCAGCTCTCCCTTTGTGTTACTATGTACTTTGCATGTTTTTTGGCCATTGCATTTATTACATTGTTTTATAATGATCTGGATCTATCTGTCCCTCTTCACTGTAAGCTCCT